AAGCCCTTAAACGAAAGAAGAGAGATAAAGAATTAGATGACAATCTAAAAATAATACAGGAGGCTAAGGAAACAGAGAGGCGTAACAAAGAAGAAGAAGATATCTTGAAGTGTAAGAAGGCTCTGTTTCCTGAATGGACTAGAGAGGTGTTGATCAGTCAAGCAATTGAATCACTAAGTGTTTATTGGTTAGAACCGATTGCGTCTTTTGACTACGATAATTCAAAGGACTCACAGTTTGATATGCCAATTACAAGGAAGGCATTTACATTTCATTGTTTTGATTCAACTTTTGAGGTTCCTTTTCCAAATCCAAAGGTTGACAGAGAGCTTATCGATTTTTACTTGAAGTATGGCCAACCTCAATACCTGACATGGAGTGCGCAGAAAATTAAAACTATCAAGGTATTGAAACCGAATCCCACTGGTAAATTTGTGAACGTGCATTTCAAGATTACACGAGGGTCTGTAAATTCTGTTTCGATGATATCTTTAGCAGATCATCCCAATCTCAATCCTCATGATTGGATATTGCTATACAACATTCTGCTCACTAATTCGAAGGAGTATGAGCCGATTCTGGAGCACTTAAAGAGAATGTTGGCCTCCTACATCTATGAAGTTGCAACAATGGATCAGGAGATAGCAAAAGTAATGAACAAGAAGCCGACGGTCAAGACTACTCAAAAGCCAGGGGATGTGAACAAGATGAAGATAGGGCAAATTGATTCAACACATCTGACTGTGATGTTTACGAAAGGTGAAGATCACAGGGTTTTGTTTGCTTTGGTAGATAAACATTTGTTTTCTACTGACTGCTTGGAGCACATTATCAACTTGATACATTGGTGCAAGCAGAACTCATATGCTGACAAGAAAATTTTTACTGATATGCTTCAGTGGTATATTACCTTTCGGTACCATCTGTTGGCTATCATTCCAAGAGTATTCAAGACGATGAAGAAGCCTTCGGTTGCTAAACAAATTTGAAGTCTCGGTCCCAAAGACGCAAAGGGGGAGATTGTTGGGGCTTATTATGTTGCGTCTTAGGGCTTTTTGTATATATCGGACTGGGCCTGTCCATCCGTGATTATCTCGTAGGGTTAGACTATATATATGCATGCATGTATGCATTATTGATAGACGTCTTTTTAATTACACTTGAGTTTTGTAACCCTAAAACACCTCTACAGTCAAAGTTCTTAATCGAGCTCTTCTATGGTGTTGAAGCATTAATCATTCAACATATTCAATCCATATTAGTGTTCTTATTTACGTACTTATTTGTTTGCATGCTTAGAATTAATCGATCCTGATAGAACTACATTCTAACAGGTTTAAAAAACATACCTCTTGATTATACTAGTATATAATCAAATATAATCCTTATTGTCGTCACTTGGAAGCTAGCACTAGAAATTACGTGCCTCTGATGGTTCACACCCAAACCTAGCAATAAGGAGGCTTAAAGAGAGAGGAGAGGGGGAGTAGAAATTTTGGCTATGCCTTGGAATAGGAGATGGCCAAAATTATGAATCCCATGGAGGGTTTATATAGGTGACTAAGGGAACTAGGATAAGACAAGTTTCCTTAGATAAGTCTTATCCTTTTTCCTTGCTCCCTAAGGATTCCTAGGCTTCCTTAATGCCCAAGAAAACCCTATAACCCTCCAGAATTTGGTCCCTCCCCCCCCCCCCCCCCCCCCCCTCTTAAGCAGGTTCTAGAACCGGTCAATGTTCAACTTTTGAACATCGTCACCTTTAGTCATCCCACTTTTAATTATTCCAATTAATCATGATTAATTTATAATTAAAGAATACTATTACTAATTAATATATTATTCTCATAATATATTAATAAGTTATTTATTTTGATTTCTAATTAATTTATTAATCATATAATAAATTAATAAATCAGTCTCTCTCTAAAATTCATCATATTCAATTACTAGGTCTGAGGGCAACCCAAAATGACATTCAAGTATATATTAATTTAGTTATTAGCTTAGACACCTAATCCAACAGTGTCTACATGATTTTCATGAAATTCCATGTGGGTTTCTATTAGGTTGAACCAATTATCTATCAATTAGATCGATCTTCTATTATTAGAGTTGTCATACGTGCTTCTCTGATGAGGTCCATTGTGTTTACAAGTTCTCGTATATCTTCAAACATTGTAATAAAGAGCATTTGCATATTATACAATGTTAGTTTTCTCCGCTCCTCCGCTATAGAAGGCGGTAATGAGATTTCCAGTATCACCATTCGTTGTTTCACATATTGATAATCACGAATGAACTCTAATGTAGTCGTATCAACAAGACGTCATTGCTCTTCTTCAAGACGTAGTATATCATATTTTACTGGAATTTCATTCTTATTGATCGAGGCACTAGATATCGAATACTGTAATTTTTATAATATATTAACATACACATTAAAAACAAAGACTTGCATAAACGTATCCAACAATAAAATCAACTTGCTGAAACATAACCATAAAAATATAATGAGATTGCAACTAGTCTATAATAACATATTAATCTGAACTTGCTGTAATCCCATCTTTCGGAATTCATTTGCTTTCAATTTAAGTTTTAACATCCTTTTTGATTTCTTTCTTAATTTTATAGGTGCCTTTTTTTTTTGGTTTATTTCTAAATCAACATCCTGGTTTGTTATCTACAAAAACAAAATTCCAACAACATTTTAATACATATTACCATAAAACCAACCATTTTAATAAAATTTTAATCATTTTTACTTTTATTAGGTCTAATTTTGAAAGCTTCAATAAAACTTTTTTGTCCGTAAAGCTCACTTTGTTTAAAAACATCAATTCAAACTCGTCTTTGGATTAATAGGGGTTATTAAACAATGTCAGGAACCAAAAAAAATTAATAATCAATTATCATTCTGGCTTCTCATTCTGGACCAAATTCTTAATATCTCGGATCATTTCGGACCAAGATCTTCGTATTCTGGACATATAGAACCTTTCTAGATTCCCTAGAAAACATAGTTTCGGACTAAAAAGCAGTCCTAATCACATTATACTTAGAAGCACCTCATACATGTACAACAAAAAATACAAATATTGGATATTTCGAACTCGTTCTTTGTATTCTAGAGTGTTCATCGCATTCCAGAATAAGTCTATTTATTTTAAAACTCAAATGCAAGTAATTTAAAAAGTAGAACTCACTTGATTTGATGAATCCATACTAAACCTAGATCCGAAATGCATATAAAATGAACTTCGAAATTGAAGAATCTAGAACACGTATTTTGGATTTTTGTGTATATGACCCATATATATAGTATTGGGCTACAATATTGAATTTGGGTCATATATTTGGTCATTTTGCAATATATATATATATATATATATATATATATATATATATATATATATATATATATATATATATATATATATAGTTTCAGGTTCATTTGAGACCATGCTAATTTTGTAAGACCGTAAGATCAAATCTAAAAATAATTTTAAAATGCAAAATAAATAGAAAAATCCAAAAATTCTTTTTTTAAATATTATTTTCGGAACTTGAATTAACTAAAAAAAACTTTAAAAAATTAAAAAAAACAAAAAAAATCCTGTATTTTTTTTGAAAAATACATGAAATATTCTAAATAGAATATTACACTGATATATTCTAAAAAAAAATTTTAAAATGCAAAATAAATGGAAAAATCAAAAAAAAAAAAATTTTAAATATTATTTTCGGAACTTGAATTAACTAAAAAAAATTATAAAAAAAAAAAAAAAAAAAAAACGTCTCACGGTCTCACAAAATTAAATCGTCTCACATGAACCTAACCCTATATATATATATATATATATATATATATATATATATATATATATATATATATATATATATATATATAAAGTGATTAGTTTGCCCTTATCCCCATCTCTTAGTAGTTTTCTATACATAATTTCATTAAATATAATTGCTAGCGAACAGTTAGTTTAGTATATATAGTTGATCAATAGTTTGATACCAATAATGATGGTTCATACGACAAAGATAAAAGAAATTTTTATTGCTTTAAAAACTCATTTCATTGATATCTTCTACTAAAAACTAACAAAATAACAACGTAAATATTGCACTTTTATATATCACAAAAAGGCTATTAAGTATTAACAATGGAAAATTACCGGCCAAATCAAACTAGGGAAATTTAATAAATGTTTTATATATATATATATATATATATATATATATATATATATATATATATATATATATATATATATATATATATATATATATATATATAAAGTCGACAAGTATACAGACAAAGAGGTTGATGGAAGTAGATGGATAATTTCTAGGGTTGACTAATGGAGTCATTGCCATCAAAAGAAACTACATACCAAACAAATGGTTTTGATTTTTACAAGAAAATATAGACCATACAGTAAAATACGAAGGCATTTAACAGATAGATTTTTTCTAAACACAGATAATTACTTTTGTAATGCATAAGACAAAGTCTTCCGTATACAACTTGGATGCTGTTTTTATTTCTTTTTTTGAATAAAAATTAATAAGATTAAAAATTAAACAGATCGATTTTTTCTAAACATAGAAAATTTCATATACCCTTCTTCACTCAAAATATTATTAGTATTTTACGATTTATTTCTCACATAGACCTAATAAATTAACATGTGATTTACCATGTCCTTAAATACTAGCTGTTTAGTGTTTACCTATTTGTTCTTCTTTCCTCCCAACTTCTTGCAATATATATATATATATATATATATATATATATATATTGCAAGAAGTTGGAGGAAAGAAGAACAAATAGGTAAACACTAAACAGCTAGTATTTAAGGAATATATATATATATATATATATATATATATATATATATATATATATATATATATATATATATATATATATTGTGAAATTCTTTGCCAATATAAAAATAAATTTGTCATGACTTATTATTTTACGTACAACATTTCATTTAGACAACTTCATAATCCTTTCAATCATTTTATCCATACAAGACTTAACAAAGAAAAAAAAACAACCCCTAGATCACAATGGTAGATTATACCATAAAAAGAATTGTGATTTTATATAACATAACACAAGTTAAGCGGCTAAAATGAATAAAATATGGTAATTATCCATTTTATTTGAAAATTTTGAAACTTGAAACACCATGGTTTTTCTCAAACTTCAATTGGTTCAACAATTATTCACCAGAAACATGAACCATAAACACAATCACTCTTGACTTGAGAAAGTTGAAACACCTTTTTCCAGTGTAAAAATTGTCGCAAAATGCATGACATTTCTTCCCCCAAACCCACAACAAACTTGTGAAACAACATTCCACCCAAATGATTCACCAGAAATCGGGTTTCAAACACATCAATAAAATGTCAAAAGTCTAAACTAAATTCATAATAATGTCTCAAAATCGCTAGAAAAATGGACTTTTTTTCCCCACAAATCCAAGAAAATAAACAAGAATTCAATTACCTTCTTTACTTCCTACATTACCACTGCCTACTGCCTAGTTCTTCCATTAAAACTATTAGCTCTTGTCCTGTCTTCAAGACCTCACTGCAATAACCCCAAAAAGATATTATTTTCAGAATGTATATTAAATCTTTAATGTGTAAAATATAGAAATAAATAAATAAATAAACTTTTTTTTTTGAAAGAGAAATAAATAAATAAACTTGTGTTTCACTTTTTTTTTTTTCAATTTCGCCATCTATTATAAATACTTTTTTACCACAAACTAGTTTTAATGTAATACGTAACGACTTATACCATTATACTTTTTTGAGACATCTACAAAAATGATCCCTGTCTTTGTGATTTGTTCTCTGTATAGTCCAAAATTGAAACATTTTTCAAGTTTGGTCCTTGTTTCGAGGATTCATATCAAATTTGGCCCCTCGAACCTTCAAATAAGGATGGAATCAATATGAAAAGAAAAAATAAATTAAAAAAGACACAAAACTTTGTAATAAGGACCAAAACTAAAAAAATGTTTCAGTTTTGGACCAGTCAGAAAACACAGGGACCATTTTTTAACTTACTCAACTTCTTTTTTACCCTTTAAAAAAAGTACGTTTTCTTTTTCAATGTAGTTTCAACATTTTTATCAATCTAGCCCCTAGACTATAACTTTTTATCATTTAGCCACAAAAACATCATTATAACAAATCATTTCAACTTCTTTTTTACCCTTTAAAAAAGTACTTTTTCTTTTTCAATGTAGTTTCAACATCTTTATCAATCTAGCCCCTAAACTATAACTTTTTATCATTTAGCCACAAAAACATCATTATAACAAATCGATTCAACTTCTTTTTTACCCTTTAAAAAAGTACTTTTCTTGTTTCAATGTAGTTTCAACATCTTTATCAATCTAGACCCTAAACTATAACTTTTTATCATTTAGCCACAAAACTATACATTAATCAATAACAAAGGTACAACATATCAATGCATAATACCTGAAGGGTTAGCAAGATTCTGTACAACTCTTAATATGGGTAAAAGCTAAGAAGTCATTCGAGTAGATTTTTGTTGTTTTGACTTTTTTGACCATGGACCCGCTTCATCTGAAGAGCTTTCAACCGGACCATTCTGAAGGACCACTGAACCATCAGAGACATTTGGAGCCGCCGCCACGTCACCAGACCAGCTCTCTGACAACTGCTGTTCGGTCAAAATCGGTTGACCAAAAAGCACAAAAATTGGTTTCTTCTTATTCTTACTGTTATCCTTTTCATCATTCATCGTGAATGTATTCCCCATTGTTAGCAAGCAAGAAATGTTTTCATCGGTTTCTTTAATTGTTTGACTTGTTGACTTGAATCTCGTTAAAGGGTTCGCGATTTCAATTGGGAAAGGTTTCAAATGGTTATTTTGTCCAAATTGGGAATTGTTCTGCCTGGCTCCCTGGATGCTTGTCGGGTGGTGGTGGTGGTTGGCGGTGGTTGGTGGCGGGAGATCGGGTGGTTGGAGGATTCGGAGTTTTTTTCGTGGTGGTGAAAATGGTGAAAGATGGATTGAAGATACGAGTTCAACTGACCATGGGTTGACTCGTTTCACATGTTGTAGTAAATCAGGTTCATCCCATGATACCTTCAATTTTATAAAGAAAATTTAAAATAAATAACATTAAATCCTCATAGCAGAAGGGTTGTTATAATTAATACCTGAAGAAGCCTCCAAGGAGAATTAGGGGAAAGTTGTTGATCGTTGATGTGAATAGACGAAATTGTCCCCATGAACCAACTTATCCTTGAGGAATCCTCAGTTTCAAAAGCCATCTTGAATCTCATTCCTGGACACCATTGAATCCTCATTGCAGCCATGACAGTTGAAGCTTTCACACAGAACTCCGGTGTACTTGCACGCGGGTAGTAAAAAACCTCAAACGGTTGACCATTTGCTGCCATTTTCACAGCTTCAAAGACAGATTCACCATTGAATTTCTCAATAGGGTTTCGGAAAAACTTGTCGTTGTTCTCATTGATTCCTCTTTTTGCCCTTCGAATCCCAACACAGAGATCGTTATTATCAGATTTAAGAAATACGATTGAATCACCAGCTATGAGCTTCTTGTGGTTCACGAAATTGCTCCAACCTGTGGTTAAAAGATGGCGACGTGGGGTGCCTCTGTAAATATGTCTGAATTTCCAAATTTGCCCATGAACATCCTTGGCTAAGATGTTTTGAACAGGTGGATCTGCGGTGTAATCGAGTTTAGGGAAAATGGTTTCTGCACAGTACCTCGGGACTGAGAATCCACCACCATTGTTAGCGTCTGATTGAGTTAATGTCTTTGCGAATGATGTTGGGTTTTCCTGATTTTGGTTGTTTTGATCGAACCCTAGAATCCCATTATCATCAGAATCAAAATCGTTGAGGTTTCTCAAGGGGAGAAGACCGATTTTAGCATAAACCTCATCGGTGTCGGGATCTGCCATGAACGTCACTTTGGAAACTTGACACAGAATGTAAGGTGGAATTCGAGAGAAATCCCCAAAATTCACGTTTCCCGATGCAGCATGTTCGGCGTGGCCTTGAGGGAAGTAGAACACCTTGGAGTTTAATGGCGGCAATTGTACCATACCACCAGCACATGCGTGCCATAACTGAGAATCCAAGCATTTGCCGACTTCATTAATGGAAGTGTTCACGGAATTCATTACACTGATCATCGTGAAATCGGAATCCGAATCCTTAATCTACAACACGAAGCACCACTGTAAAACCACAATAAAAAAACCGTGTAAGTTTATGTGAAATCAACAATTCGCAAAGCACAAAGTGTAAATTTCAATAGGAACTTGAGAATTCCCAAAACCAATACTAACTCCTGATCTAATTATCTATTACAATATAGTTTTGATTTTTTACAGTGGGTTTCAAGTTCAGTTTCCGTAAAATAATGGATACCCCGATTTATTAGCAACAGGACACAACAGAAAACAACAAAACCCGCTGTTTGGTTGCCATAGTAGACAACAGAAACTTGATAAATCCCAAAATTAAATGAACAAAACAAAAAACGATCCTATCGTCTGATCTATAACAACAAAACTTGTGAGTGGGTTGAAGCTTATTCCCCATGAAAAACATCGTCAACCCCAATTGCAATTCCAATTCCAATTCCATGGCAATCTAACAAAAGAGGAAACATACCTAGAAGCATGAAGAATGGATGCAGTCGAATCTACAGATTCATAACTCTTTTTCTCCTTTTGCGATGAAAAACTCTGAGTTGAAATTGAATTTGGTTGGAGAGAAGGGAGTGAGATGTGAATGGGTGAAGAGTGTGGAGTGAATTTAAGCGAAAACAGAGAGAGACGGAGACAGAAAGGGTCACCTCACGCTTCTTTGCCGACCGGACGGTGGCTTACAACAGACAAATATGGATTCTGGTTTATACATATATACATATAGATAGAATATGTGTATGCATATAGAGAGAGAGAAACAAGAGAGAGAGAGAGAGAGAGAGAGAGAGATGACTTCAAATACCAGACCTCCAAGCATTTCGCTGCGTGCTCTGCCCTCTACATCGTTTTGAATATTATTGTTTTATTATATTAATCAAAATTAAATTGTATAAATATCCGATTTCTTTTCTTTTTTTCCCAAAATTATATGCATATATATTATAAAAAAATTAAAACTAACCGAAAAGCCTTTTTTTTTTCGATTTTAATAATTTATTATTAAATTATATATATATATATATATATATATATATATATATATATATATATATATACTAGCCGTTACCCGCGCACAGCGGCGGGGACAAATAGCTTCTTTCAACGATAGTTTTTAAAGAAAAATGTTATGTTCCAAAAGAAAGTTCATGTCGTGGGTGAGAGGAAGGGCGGTAGTCGTGATAGTGGTTGGTTGAAGGCGGAAGGAGGCCGAGCGGCTGTAGTGGTGGTGGTTATACTATCTTGGTTACTGGTTATGGTTCTTCGAGAGAATGTGCGTATATTTCTTACTTTGAAGGGATTACGAAAATAGATATTATGAGATGGCTTGTTACCAATGTGAGAGAAGAGATCCTCTATAAATTGTTGACATTGACCGCTTCAAATGGCTGAAGTGTTGAGATTGACGGGTTCAATTTGCAAATGAATTCTTCTATTAATTTGATACAAGATTTTTAGGGGATAAAAGATAGGGTTAAAGTTTTATATTATTATATTATAAATGGGTTGTACTTCAAGCTTAATAGTTTGGACGTCTTAAAAAAATAATATTATTATATTCAATCTATTTATAGAAATAGTTAGATTTCTTTTATAAGTAGTAAAGATATATATATATATATATATATATATATATATATATATATATATATATAATTTATTTTATGGTTTTTAATTTTTTATTAATAAAATGAAATATTTATGTATTGTTTATATATATTTGAAATCATGGGATAATATATATTTATTAAAAAAATATAAAAAATTGAATGAAGTTGCAAGGCTGCGTAAATCAAAAGTGGGTCTCTGGACCTATTTTATTCTTATAAATGATTATATACAAAAATAAAAATAAATTGTGAACTCCTTTAAATATTTTATTTTAAATATTTTAAGTTAATCACCTTAATCCTATTGGTAAAAACAAATATGCATAAATCAATATTTTAAAAGCCTATCTTTTATTTTTTTTATTAGTTTCATTTAAATAACGAACCATGTTGTTTTATGTTCTAGACTCGTCATTAAACAAAAGTAATGACTCAATTTATTTAATTTGAATTTGATGAAATGAAGATGTTTATCAAGCTTCCATTTATAGAGCGATCGAAGAATCTCGTCATATAGTATGAATTGAATGGATAACAATTACAATAACCATATTGTCTATATGAACAAACAAATTTTGTGGTCTCGTTTTGCGTAATCGATCGTGGTTAGATTAGAAATAGATGTAGCGGATCATCCACATCACGTATTAGATGTTAGACATAATTCCACTTCCCAGATGATTGAGAGAGTGAAAGAAAAAATGATAGCTAAGTTAGTAGGGTAAAAATAAAGAGAGTATAATGACTACAACTCTTAGCTTAGTTTGTAAATATAAAATGAAATTTAATAAGATGTGCGTTTATAATTAATAGATACTATATTGAAGAGAATTTTAAAAATTCTTAATGAGTCGTAGCTTCTTAGAAAACCAAATTATAAACTAGTTTTTTCTTTCTTTTATCAAAATATAACAACCTATATTTTCTAAAAAATAAATAATTGGAGTGTGTCATCATTAAATGAACTGTTCAAAAGAATAATATATTTAAAATAAAGATAATAGATGTCGTGTATGTAATTTTAACTTCTGATTAAATGTTATGAAACTTAAGTAATCGAAGTCAATGTTTTATAACTACATGTTTCATACGTATATTTATTGTAGGTATTAATAATATTACAATGATTTATGTTAGGTTTATAAATATATCAATATATTTCTTAAGTTTATCAGCATGTCCGTGTTTATTTATTTGAATTTTCTTCGTAGATATTAAATGCCTTAAATATTCTAAATTAAAACACGTTTGTGGATATCTTTGTAGATATTGATTCAGCTGTTAAACAATATATGTTTGTGGATATGGCTCATTTTTTGTTATGTACTAATATAAAATGACATATTTATTGAAATAATCTATGACATAACTTTTACATTTTTAATTGTATCGTATAAGTTTGTGAAGAAAAAAAAACATTTTTTATTATCTGGATTAAAATCGTTTTAATATATATATTTTTTCAAATAACAATCAAGTCATTTTTAGTAGTGTCATTTCATATAAACTAGTAATTACATTTTCGTCCTACAGTTTACATGTTCTTTTATAGTTTTAGTCCTAAAAACCTTTGTATGCATCTTTTTGACCTTACTTTATATATATATATATATATATATATATATATATATATATATATATATATATATATATATATATATATATATATATATATATATATATATATATATATATATATATATATATAAACATTTAAAGTTTAAATTTATAAAAAAAAATGAGAAAAATATTGAATTAATAAAGTCAAAGTGTTTTTTTTTCTTTTATATTTAAACAAATAACTTAGATAAATAAACAAAAGAAACTAATAAGACTTTAATTTAATAATTTTGAAATTAGAAGGAATTAATATGCAATTATTATTACATTTAAATATTATGTGGAATTTAATAAAATGAAAAAACCATAAAATAACATGTGAAAAAAAAAAAAATAAGAATAATAAGCAAAAGCCATGTGGCATAATGTATTAGAAAGGGACAAGGGGCAATCCAAACTTCAAATGGACCATTTAGGGATTTAATTGGTATATAGGTGTGAAGTTGAGTGTTAATGAGAGAATGGTGACGGTGACGACAATTCAAGATGGAACTTTCCATTTGTAGGAATTAAGGCATGTGTGGTGATGAGATTGTTATGCTATTAGATCGATAGATTCTAAACAGATAAACAAGAATAAAGCAATCAAAGAACACAAGAATGGATCAAAAGATGTCGAATGATTAATATCTCACACCTCAGAAGAGTTCGATAAAGAACTTCGACTGTAGAGATGTGCTTAGGGTTACAATGCAAAAGCTATTAATTAGAACATTTTTTTAAAGCTAAACATGCATGCATAATATATATAAGCAAACCCTAATGATTAAACCATGGTTGGACAGGCCCAAACCGGGTAAATAAAATATTAACATTAAGCCTATATGACACAACACTCTAGACCCAATAAACTCCCCCTTTGCGTCAATAGAGGCGAGAGATTAGTTCGGTTGAGAAAGAGCAGACTTCTTCACTGTCTTGAACACCTTCGGTATAATGGCCAAAAGATTGTGACGGTAAGTTATATACCACCGAAGCATGTCAGAGAAGTTTTTCTTATCCGAATCACTATTCTGTTTACACCTGTGAGTTATATCAAGTACGCGCTCTAAGCAGGAAGTGGAGAACAGATGTTTGTCAACTAGAGCAAAAAGGAAATTTTCACCTTCGCCTCTTGTGAACATAACAGTATGATGTGTTGGATCGATCTTGCCCATCTTCATTTTATTAAGATCACTCGGCTTCCCAATGGGCTTCACAGTCGGTTTCTTCCTCAAAACATTTGCAACCTCCTGATCCATCTTAGCAACTTCATGGATGTAGGATGCCAACATTCTCTTAATGTGATCGTGGATCGGCTCATACTGCTCTTGATTAGTAAGCAGAATGTTGAACAGTAGAATCCAATCGTGTGGGTTTAGATTTGGAAGATCAGCTAATGAAATCATATGAACCGAATCATTAGAACCTCGGGTCACCCTGAACTTCACGTTGATAAATTTCCCCACAACTGTCAGTTTCAATACCTTGACAGAGGTTATTTTCTTAGCACTCCATGTCAAGTATTGGGGTTGAGCAAATTAAAGATAATAATCGATTAGATCTTGATCAACCTGTAGGTGAGGAGAATGGACTTCAACCGTTGGATCAAAACAATGGAACACGAATGCCCTACAGTTGATGGGCATGTCAAATGAGAATCCCTCGTGTTTTCATAATCAAACGAAGCAACAGGTTCCAACTAGTAAGTGCTGGGAGACTCAATCACTTCTTTGATTAATCTTTCCCGGGTCCAAGTGG